ACGTGTCACGGATGGGGGGTGCCCCCCCCCCCCCCCCCCCCCCCCGGTTTTTATACTGAGCATGATGTCACATGGTATAGAATACCCCATTGGCCAGCTGGGTCCACCACCCCGGCTTTGCTCCCTGGGCCCCGCCCCCTGGTGCAAGCACCACCCAGCAACAGCCACAGCATCCATGGGCCATCAACGCTCCTTTCATACCAAACCCAAAACACAGCACACCCCCCAAGCTACTGGGAAGAACGTTAACTCTGTCCCAGCCGGAACCAGGACAATAGTATTCACTAGCCCTTCTCCATCACAACTAGACATCATCCCCACCTTCTGTCAAAATCTGTTTCAAGAAGGATTGTTTGAAGAAACTCCAAGTCAACCGTGCTTCCTTCCAGTTAACAAAGGTCTGCAAAAAAAGAAGTACTGAAATGTAATAAACAGGATGGAAACTACAGATAGAAATGGAAAATACAAAGCCAGTACACTACTCTAGGCTAGCTCTAACTGTACTGATGAGGAAAACCCACAATGCCATAGCTACTAACAACTAATCTAAAATATTGCTAAATTCAAACACCAATATCACTCTGATCTGGCAAAGACTTTTTCCCTTGCTGAAAACTACTGTTGTTGCAGATAAAGTACCCAAACCAGGTTTCTACAGAAAATACTATTAAAAGTTAGAGACTGGAAAAGAACACCACCATGCTGTTTAACTTTCACTTTCACTGTAGATATAAATTGTTCACTGCTCTTCAAACTGTCCCCACAAGTCTTGCAACCAAGAACCACCTCTTTGCTACCTGCAAATCTTTTTCAAAATGTCTTCTTCCTCACTGTGGCTTTTCATTTCTTTCTTGCCTCATTTTCTTTTGAGAGGACATCAGAGGTATTTGAGTATCTGTAGGATGCTATGTACCACCATGTTTCTATTATGGAAAAGTCCAAGTTCCAAAATCCATGGTAAAATGGTTCTGGTTTCTTTCCTGTCTCAGATGCAATGATACCTGGGGTCATTCCCCTGTGCACTGCAGATGTTCTACCTCCAGTTAATGGTTTGTGTAAAGACACTAAAAGATAAGTCAGCCACAAGCCCATAACAACAAAGAGGCCAAGTTTCATAATGTTTTTCTGACAAGGATTTTATTGATACAAACGACAAACAGAATTTGTATGTAATTTTTTTTAATCAGTCATATCTTCTACAGTGCAGAGCTATCCTCAAAATCACTCAATTAACTCCACTATCTCAAACTAATTTTCAAAGTTCTCTCAAGAAAAACTTAAAATCAAGAAGTGAACTGTGCAACCTACCTCATCTTCCACAAAGTTAGGTAATAGAGCTTTCATTCTAGCAACTGGAAATGACTTCTTTGTTGCTTCAGGAGACCCCAAAAACATCACAAAATAAATTACATAGCACATTACCAGAACACTGACATATAAAAGCTGGAAAGATAGGGAAGGAGAGAAGAAAAACAACCAGTGATATAAAATGAACTTACAAATGCAGAATTACATGCCAGAGTTCCAAATTCAGTGGGAACAAAACATAGTAAGTATAGTCCTTATTCCTGTCAAATTTTAAACTAGGTAAAAGCTTTAATCCCCCCAAGAATGCTGTTGATATTTTTTTAATCTATAGGTTATCATTGCCAACCTTCATGTTCTATTCAGCACTTTTAGAATGATTATTTAAAGTCCAAATATAAAGCAATTACTCACTCAATCAAAAAACAAGTTGACAGAGTAGCTACCATCTACATCTCTTTTTTTGACCAGTTATAAGCTATCTACTACAGCCACTGCAAAAACTGAACAAAAAAATAACCAAATGTCCACATCTGAGATGGATCACATTTTCATTTCTAGGTAAACTGATATCGCACCGGCAACAACCCTATTTTTCAGGTGCCAATTCTTCACTGTAGTAAAGAAAAAGTTTTAATGAGTACGTATTACACATGATTAGCACCTTCTGATAAGGTGATATAGGTTGGTGGTACAGGCTGATAAAATTACATGTGATTATAATCTTCTGCACAGTAAAATCCAAAATCTAACATTAATACTGAAGCCATGTGGTAAACAAAGTCTTCAAGCATTAGAATGTATAATTAATTAAAAAGAAGAGTTAACATAAAGCTTATACAGAATAACATAACCTTATTGGCAAAACGTGCCTTCACAGACAGAACAAGGTGCTTTCTTGTACATCCATTAAACTGCTCAAAGTCAGTGAGGGGTCAAAGTGCCAAGTCAATAACGAGTATTAGGAAAATACTAAATACAAGTGCTAAATCTTAAACCTCCCAGGAGCATTTTCTCTCACCTCCTCCAAGTTATTTAGCAGGCTAAATGTCAAAGGCAGCGGCAAATAAAAATTAAGATGAATCAAGAATTTATAGAAAAAGAGAACACAGGAAACTTACCTGAGCCAAGGAAAAAATGTAGAGGCCCCACTGAGGGTAAAGGACTACTAAAATAACTGTCAAAATGCATTTTGACACTACCGAAAGGCTTTCAGCAACTACCTTTAAGAATGAGAAAATAGAGAAGGTTTATTTTCTGCCAACTTAACCACATACACAAACTTAAAATACATTAGTTTCACACACAGAATTTATGTAGGAATATAAGACTTTCAAAGTTGGTGTGACTTTATCACAGAGTTTCTCTCTGCTAAGTTGGCCATCTTAGATTGTAATGTCTCTGTAAATTTTCTATTCTTGCATTTCACAATTCCTCCATTGCACTTTCCCAGTCCTTTGTATGGGACTTAAGGGAGAAAATTCTGCTTGAGACAATCATGTTCTCAATTGTTGCATTTCACAATTTCATGCCAACAATCAATCGAAATGCAAAATTGTGGAAGCTGTGTGCCTCTCCCTCCAATTAAAACTCATTATTAAGTATTTAATGATCACTAAGGTGATAATTTCTAAATAAACCAACTTTCCTGCTTTAACAGGTGCAAATTCATATCTATGTTACTACTATGTCATACAGTACTAAACAGTACACACAGGTTGGTTTTTTTTAATATGCTTGAATATACAAAGATCTAGTTCAGGAATCCATTCTTTTCAATAGAGAAAGATAGTTCCCCACACACACATACACTGCATGTATTTTACTAACCTTAAGTCTCACAAACAAATGAGCTTGTGCCAAAACCCAGAACGGTTCTCCCAGAAGTTCAATAACTGCAGAAAGGCCAAATGCCACTACACCAGCCTGATAATGAGGAACCACAGAAGGATCAGGTACTTCAAGCAAGTGTAGCCAGACTAAGCCCAAGAAAATAGACCAAAAAACACCAAGAGGAACCCTAAAAAGTTAACATAAAAACAATCAATAGAAATGCTTGCTTAAGCAGGAAAAAACCAAGAAAATTAGATTAAAATTTCACATATTGCCATAATAATTAAAAAAAAAAAAACCAAGAATTAATTTCTATTGTTACAATACCAAGAATAACTTTTTTTGTAATGAACATTTTAAGGCATTCTTTTGCAAGACACCGAAAACATTCTTCTGATTTGTCTATTTTCTACTCAAGAATCTAACATAAGGTCAACTATCTGCATTTCTTGTTCCCTAGGACCGAACAATTCGGATCCCGTATCAGCCTGCAGAACACTGCAAACCCCTCATTTTTGCAATTTTTATAGTCTGTGGTTAGCAGGGGTTTGGCAGACAAGCTTTGTTGGATCTTGCTGTAACAGAAAGATGCCACCACTCCAACTGCTAGTCTCACTCTTCCAGAAATCATTGGTTCTCCAGAGAGCGCAAGCAGAGTGAGCAGAAGAAAATGCATGCCTGCACCTCAGGTATGCCAATTCACAATGCTCTACTGTAGCTCAGAGCCACTTTGACTACTGACTGTAGCTAAAAAGCCAAGCTAGGCACAGGAGTGCAGACGTGTATTACCTTCTGTTGACACTGCTTCAGGAACACGAAGCTTCTGGCAGAGGCAGAAAGTTTTATATCACTGCAGCAGGATCTATTTGACCCTCCCATTATCAGATCCCTAAGGTATCTGACATCAAGCTCCTAAGACGTATTTCAGATCCTTCAAGAAAGTTAATCTTCTTTTTAAGTTATGCTTCTCTATGAGGAAAAATTTAAAAAGAAAAAGGTGTACACAGTCATTGTTAACTATCACTTAATGCCCACTTGAAAGGCTGTCAAATAGCAGAAAACTGATTATAATACAGTGAAGAGAACAGATATAATACATTTAAAATATTAGTATTAAACCTATCCCTGAAAGGGACAATCCCTCTTCTTTATACCTCAATGCAGATGACCATGCACAACCTCCCATTCCTGGGCCAGATCTAATTAAGAGCTGTGCAGTTCCACAGAAAGTCAGTAGGGTGACCCAACGGCAGACTACTATGCAGGAGTAGTATTCCACCATATCAGACATGTAAACTTACTTCTCAACCCACCTAACTGTAGCTGCACAGCTGCGAGATCTGACAGAGAGGAAGTAGCAGAGTGGTGGGTCCAGGAATCAGAAGGAAGAAACAAGTCATAAAATCCACTTAGCTGCAATGTGCGATTACACACTCTGGCTGCAGCTTCACATAGACTTTAAGCTATCTACTTTCTGCTATAAACAGCACTGCAGTTGAAAGAAGTAGTCCTACTTATTCCCTGTTGTTTAATTCCAACCCTTTCTTTCCCCCTTTCACATCCCTCCTATCCAACACAAACGTTGGTGTTGACATGCCATTAAACAGCATCAGGGCTCAAGCCATCGAAAAAAGATAGTGGGGGGGATGGGGGGTGGGGAATACCTAAAGCAGCTTCACAAATGCGTA